AGAGAGAGAGAGAGAGAGAGAGAGAGAGAGAGAGAGAGAGAGAGAGAGAGAGGATAAAGAAATGACCAAACCATCTACATCCCAGCCCGGCCCAGGCACGTGGCCCCTCTGGCCTAGTTCCTGGAAAGGAAGGGCTCCTTCCATTTCCTTCCAGCAGAACACAAAGATCTACAACCAGCTCAGGCAACTTTTTGCTCCTGAACTAACCTGGTCCAGCAACTCCAGAGTCCACCACGGGCTTGGCAGGGACAGACATGGAGAGCCAGCCCCGCACACCCTCCCAGCTCAAAATGGAAGATTTCAACTCTGACCACATTCCCTGTGGTACAAACAACACCTGCAGAGGTGGCTCCCAGCAGCCCTTGCTGCTGGACAAAGGTGAAACACTCCAGGATGCACTTATCCTGACCTGGCAGGATCAGGCCTGGCAGGATCAGGTCTGGCTCCGGCACTCTGTGTCGGACTGTGTTGGACTCTACTCCCTTCCCAGACCTCTGCGCCCTCGACCTCCAAATGGAAAGAGAACTTTGAATTCTTTTTTTTTTTTAGTTTTTCGAGACAGGGTTTCTCTGCATAGTCCTGGCTGTCCTGGAACTCACTCTGTAGACCAGGCTGGCCTCGAACTAAGAAATCCGCCTGTCTCTGCCTCCCAAGTGCTGGGATTAAAGGCGTGTGCCACCACCGCCCGGCTAGAAAGAGAACTTTGAGTAAAGCTATTTTTCTTTTTGAAAATTAACTTTAAAAATAATAGTTATGGCCTTTTTCCTGACTATAAACACCATCTAAGCACGAGGCAGAAAATGTGCAAAAAAAAAGAAAGAAAGAAAGAAAGAAAGAAAGAAAGAGAGAGAGAGAGAGAAAAAGAAAAAAGGAAGGAAGAAATAAAAAAGGAGAGAAATAGAATCCTACAAGACAGATAACCTCTGTCAGAATCTTGACAACACCCTCTCATCCTGCTGTGACGGCTTGCATATCCAAATCTCACTGAACGCTGACACTTCTGCTTCTCCAGGTAGCAGGGTAGCCAAGGCTGCCCACGGTCCTGAGTCCTGCTTCTTGAATTTTCTAAGTTCTGATCTTCTGATTCTAGATGGGTCATTTAAAAGGCAGCACCAACTGTTCATCAGAACAGCCTCCGGAACATAAAACAGACCATCATCCCCAGTCAGAGAAGGGAGGACTCCAGCGGCTTTCTGTGGGGCAGCACTTGGGGGACCCCACCTTCTGTAAGTTCAAGCCTCAGCTTCCTCACCTACTTTCTGTAATCCTATAAGATGCAAACCTGGTGGGCCACACTATTCTGGAAATAGCCCTCCCTGAAAGTCCCCAGAGCTGCCAGCTCAGCAGCCAGCCCTATCCCCTGCTTTCCAACAGTCACCCAAGGACAGCAGCCAGCTTCAGCCGCCACCGTTCCCAACAACTCCCCAGGCAATCACAAACTGAAGGACACCCAGGACTAAGCTACCTACGGGGCACTGCCAGGGACAAAAGGAGCACGTGAGACACACGGTTTCCAAAACTGCCCAAGGCCCACAGCCAGAGCCCAAATGGGGAGAAAGAAGTTGGCTTCGTGTCCCTACTGCAGGAAACTCCTCACAGTGCAGCATACACCCATCCTCCAAGCCAGTGCCAGCTTCCTCCAGCTGACAGTCACTGTCCAGAGAGCGAGAGCCTGGCGAACCTATTGTCCTCTCTGAGAGCGAGAGCCTGTATGGAGAAGCCCAGTGTCTCAGAATCTTTCAAGTCAGCCTTGACTGTGTACTTCCCACATTCCCTCAATCCTCAGACTCCTCTGTGTGTGCGTGTGTGTGTGTGTGTGTGTGTCCCACACAAGTGATAAGTTCATAGAAACAAGAAGAGAAGCTCAAAATACTTTTTGAACTAAAGGAAGAGAAAAAAAACCCACACAGCCCCCTTTTTGTTTCCAGATCTTTATTTTTCTGTCTTGTAATAAGGAACACCAGACAGAAGACAGTGTAGCCCCTCTAGGCCTAATGTAGAGCCAGGAAAATATGTCCACTTTCACGGCAGATGGGAAACTGAGGCACAGAGAGGAAGATGACTTGTCCAGCACTGTGGAGTGGGCTCTGTCCTCATGTCCAACTGAGGCTTCCATAAAAAGGCTCCAAACACCCCTGTCACACAACATGACAGGAGACCAGAGACCCTATTTCACAGATGCAAGACTGGATTGAAGCTGAGGCTGCCACATGAGACCCTAGGCTCGGGACCCAGGCTACTCACTACTGCCAAACAGACTGAGATTACCATCATACCCAAGAACCAGGCAGATGAGAAAGGCAAACCAGACACCATGACAGTGGTGCCTGGCAGGGACTAAGCAGCAGGTCTCAGCAACACAGGGTGACAGCCAGTCACCTGGTTGGGACAACCTGGGTCTGCCAGGCAGCACCTACCTCTGCCTGTCGCTCAGCAGCGGGGTTTACCCTGCTACCCCAGACAGAAAGCTAAGCTGGATGGGAAGCCGGGCCTGTGAGCCACAGGGAAACAGCTGGCAGGGCCGGGATGTGGGTCGGAGACAAAGGACGCACAAGTGGGGAAGACAGACAGACAGACAGACAGACCGTCAGACACACCCACATGCAAGCGTGCGTGCCCCCACCCAACCAGCCCCACTTCTGACAGCTGACTCCAGCACAGCTGTTTGCAGGAGCTTGGCTTCCTCATTTAAATACCAGTGGAGAGGTAAGTGAGAGAGATGCATGCCCCAGCCTGACCTGATGTCCACAACATGTTCCTCAAGTTAGAGAAGTGTTTATCCTGTCCCTCAAACTCAGCTGTCCCAAAGCCCAATTTCTCTGACCAGGAGAACCTGGCCTTTGACTTCCACCCTCTGCTGTACCAGGCCTAAAGTTTGGGAATGAAAAAGCCAGTCAGTCGGCATTCACCTGGTGGCCAGGGATTTCTTTTGTAGCTAAGAATGAATGGAAGAAAGAAAGAAAGGAAGGGAGAGAGGGAGGGAGGGGAGGAGGGAGGGAGGGAGGGAGGGAGGGAGGGAGGGAGGAAGGAAGGAAGGAAGGAAGGAAGGAAGGAAGGAAGGAAGGAAGGAAGCTAGCTGGTGGCCTTTCCTGGGGTTTCAGAGGGAGGGCAGGACTTGACACTCACCACTGCCCACATTCAGCTGCTGGCACTGTGGCTGGGACGCTACACCTGAGGCCCCTCCCCCACACAAGCTCCCCTTCAGCTCTGCGAGCCTTCTAGTTGGGAGGAAGGACACCGCACTGAGCCTGGATCTCACAAGTGAGCAAAGCAGCTGCAGGAGCCCCTGATGTTGGTGGAGGTCCCGGACACCTCTGCATACTCAAGTCTGCAGAAGCAGCAGAGAACTTGGGAGTTTCATTTTGCAATAAAGGAAAAACCCCATAATCCAGTTAATTTTCAGAGCCATCCAGCCCCTGACTCAAGACAGGGGACAGGGGACAGGGGACAATGGAGCCAGGAAAACTTGTACGTTTGTACTGCTGATAGTATCTGTCTCTAGGGGACAGAGGGCAGGGGCCTGGCCTTCCCTTCTCAGAGAAGCTCTCCACCCACATGGAAAACGGGGGAGCGTCCTCCATCAGAGCCTGCTTCCTGAACCCAGGGAGGGAAAGACCCTGCCCTGAGTGCGGAATCCACCAGAATGCTGGCTCCTATAGTCTGGGGCCCTATAATGTGGGGCATTGCTCCACATTTGCTCCTGATTGAAGGTCTCTGGGGCTCAGGCTGAACTCACATAAGGGTAGGCTTGACAACTGTTCACTTGCCACCAAAACAAGATGAGACAGGAACGGCCAATGACTACTGTCTACTTCCTAGA